GTGTGTGTGTGTGTGTGTGTGTGTGTGTGTGTGTGTGTGTGTGTGTGTGTGTGTGTGTGTGTGTGTGTGTGTGTGTGTGTGTGTGTGTGTGTGTGTGTGTGTGTGTGTGTGTGTGTGTGTGTGTGTGTGTGTGTGTGTGTGGCAGTGCTGGGTGTCTGTGCGAGTAGACGAGTTTCTTATTATAAACTGTAAGGTATATTTCCAGCCTAAAAAGTAGGCGTTGGAGGGAGGGTGGAGAGAGGGCGGTAGTGAAGGTGGAGGAATGACGCACGAAGGGAGGGAAGATAAAGGGAGGAAAGCACAGAGGATGGAGGGAGGAAGTACGGAAGGGTGGAGAGAAGGGAGTAGTGAGGGTGGAGGAATGAAGGATAAGGAATGATATAGGGTGTTGACTACCGAGGGAGCAACGCGAGTGCGATCGTCGCACTTCGAAAGCAATCACTCGTGCAGACTATGGCTAGCACGCGCGAGTTAGGTTAATGCTGCATCTCGTCTATGCGTCGATCGATAAACACGCAGTCGAGACGTCGTTTACGTCAAAATTAATAGCTGTCCCACGCTCGAGCGGCGACAGCGATGACGGCGATAGCGCAAACGTGCGAATTTCAAACCTTGACTCTTCGCCGCATTGCGGTTGTGTCACGAGACGGCCGTGACGTCACTCGCACGAGTGCATGAATGGCAACAAGGTGTTTGCGGTGTTATTAAATGTCGTGGCTCCGTCACCATGGAGGTAGAGAGAAGGGGGAGCGCGCGCGAGAGAAAGAGGGAGAGTAAATTAGAAAGGACGTGTTCATTCTCTACTGCGGGCGTGACGGCCATAAACACTATAGGTAAGAATATACGCTGCTGATGCACATTGTACAGGCATCGAAGCTTTTTTGAAGAAGATGAAGTCTCATCCTGACGAAAATTTGGATTCTTTAATTTCTTGGATTTAACACAAGATAAATATGAATTCTAAGAAAGATGAAGTCTAATTTAATAATTCTAAGATCTGATATAGTGTCCTCGTCCACTAGTTTAAACCCGCCTTTTCCGTTGTGGCGGCCATTTTTGGCGAGAAAGTGATTATTCTAGGTTCTGCGACACGCAGTTTTGGCAACATTCCATTACCCATTGTACTGACTTGAAATAACATAAGACAGCTTTGCTTTTAACATATGCGCGTGAGCCAATTTAGTACTATAATATATACGTTCCGGATACTACTAGATTTAACCAGTTTCACGTAGAGGAAAATGTGAGCTTTAGTATTTTCAATTGAAAACTCCGACTAAATGGCTTGCGATTAAGACCGCCGTAGTTTTACATGATACTATGAAATTATACGTTAGCTCTGTGAATATACCAAGAAACTATCATTTGGAATACCTTCAATATTCAAATACCTTTCGCGTATTTTCTTTCCTGTTCGGTTTCTGTTACATGTGTTCCAGCGGAAAATAACGTGTAAACTGCAAATCTACCTGGACGTCATGCAAGCGTGAACGGGATTTTCAAGGCCATTTATAAACACCGTTTAGTCCAGACTTATCTTGTCCAAACTGTGTCTTTTTACACCGATACCACTACACACTACACCACTAAACAAACCTAAGCAATACTGGCCACAGACGAGAGTGAGTTTGCTCACCCGACATTTGTTCATCACACTAACCAAAATAAAACAAGAAAATATGCTCATCACATTTTCAAAACCTTTATTTTAAAGACGTATATTTGCTTATAAGATGTATGCCCACAAGACATGCACCCACAACGTATATTAATATCGGAAATTACCTTTTTGAAAATCTTTATATAATGTGTACACATCACAAAATTACTAGTGCGCTTCTTTTTTGTATAAAAAAATTTCAAATGGAGGTGGGGTGCCAGTGAGCAAGCACGTGTGGTTAATATCCACCAGAATATCTCTCATAAGTAAAGCGATGACGCCCCAGCTTGTATGGTACTCGCGACGTACTTGTTCTAGACATGGTCTGTTTAGCGAATGTACATAAAGAATCTCAACGCAACACTCTTCATTTATGCAATTAATGGGCAAGATAGATATTATTTCGGGCCACGCGCGTACACTTTCCCGCACACATAGTGACACGCGCGCGCGCACACACAATCACGCAGTCACGCACGCACACACACACGTGCGCGTGCGCGTGGGCGCGGGGGGGGGGAGCATTTGGCTGCAAAGGCTTTAGTATCATGGCGATCGAGAACAAGGGGAAATATATACGATACGATCACAACAAAAGTACATAATTATCGTATTTCATTTGTAATCTCGTATTTTCCATTTTGAATAGTATTTTTTGTTTGTTTTATTTTCACTTTATTTACTTTTTTTTCGTATTGATTTTCGTTACGTTATTTTTATCCAGTTTCCTTCGGTCCCGGCTTTAATTGTCACATGCAGTCAAGTTTGTCTGCCCACGCCGCGTTTCCACGCATTATAGCGCCTGTTAGGACCATGTATATATAATACCTGTATAATACCGTCATCTGATTATTATATACTTACTAACATTTGTGCAAACAGTACCCAACGTAAAATAGAATCTAGTTCAGAAGACGTTCTTAATTTGGGGCCGGCTCTACCGCATTTCTAGTGCACAGGTACGTGCACGTCCCAATGAAGGCCTTCCTCATTCGCGGAACCCTACACGTGTAGAGCCCGATGTTGAAAAACGAGTTGAGGTAACCAAGAGCGGCGACTGCCGCCAGAACCCGCATGTCGTACGCGTCCGGATTCTGTTTCGTCACGACCAACATCGTCCATATCGGACCCCAGCAGATGACGAACGTGGCGACAACCATGAATAGCGTGACGGCCATCTTGAGCTGCGCACTGGTGACGTGTGACGCGTTGTTGTGGTTAGCAACGGCGTGTTCCGGTGCGACGCTCTTTCGGCAAGCTATGCTGAAGATGTAGCCATATAAATAGCACATGAAGAGAACAGGAAAGACGAAGAAGACAAATACACAGACGTAGAGCAACTCGAGCGTGTAAAGGTGCGCTAAGGAGCATATGGGGAAAGGCTGATTTTCCGGGTGCGGCTCTCTGCCGACTGTATACATGATCGTCATGAACATAAGGCCAGCTAAGACGGTGAGCGACACGAAGAGATACGCGCGGCGCGAGGTCATGATCTGATAATAGCGCAGCGCGTGCACAATCATGATGTACACGTCGAGAGAGAAGCCGAGCATGCTGAAGACGGACACCAGAAGGAAGAACGCAAGCACGCCGTGGTAAAAGTCACAGAAGCTGTTCATCGCGTGATCGGGACGCGGGCTGATTATAAGCGTCGTGTAGATGAACACGCACAGGCCCAAGCCCGTGTCGCCACAGCAGAGACTGGTGATGAAGATGAACTTGATGTTGTCCATGTCATACTCGCGAACGATTGAGATGATGACGACGGAATTCGCCGCGATGACAGCGATGCAGGCGACATAGAGGGCGAAGATAATTCCTGGGGTTCTCTGAAGAGGGTGCTCTCCTTCCGCCATCCCTGCGGCGGCGGCGGCGCTGGTGTTGTACGGAGCAATGCTAGAGTTCAGCCACTCCCAGGCCGTCGGCGCGTCGGTGAAGCTTACGTTGGTAGGTGTCGCGATCCAGACCGTGTCGTTAGCTTCGTGCTGCGCGCCTAGGGTGCCGTTGATCGCTTGGTATGCCATTATTTACCTTGCTTCGAGAGAGAGAGAGAGAGAGAGAGAGAGAGAAGAGAGAGAGAGAGAGAGAGAGAGAGAGAGAGAGAGAGAGAGAGAGAGAGAGAGCGAGAGAGAGAGAGAGAGAGAGAGAGAGAGAGAGAGAGAGAGAGAGAGATGGAGTGACAGAGATGCGAGTAAGATAGGAAGATGGGAGAGAGAAAAATAGAGAGAGAGAGAGCAAGAAAGACAAGGAGCGAGATGAGAGGGAGAGAAAAAAATGGCCCGCACCGGCCCAGCCATGACGACGAGAGAGAAAGAGGAGAGACAGTGTGTGCGAGAGCGAGAGCGAGAGATGGAGAGAGAGAGAGAGAGAGAGAGAGAGAGAGAGAGAGAGAGAGAGATGAGAGAGCAACGTGGATTTTGTTGATCTATGCAAACGCCTCTTGGATCACGACTCAGAAATGCAATTCTATGGATCCTGCCTATATTTTGCGCATGCGCTGTTGCAGGCGATGCCGTCAAAACCTTAAAGATGAGGCAAACCGTATCGTCAGTGTTGAGTATTAATTGTCTACGTGAAATCTTAACAGTCGTTGACGATACGTTAATAAATCAGCAGCGAAGGCTGACAGAAAAACATACTATAGAACTATAGCACGAGATAAAAAGGTCATACTTATTAATGTAAGCGCGACGTTGACCAATATAGTAGAAGTGATAGGCGTGACGAATAGGCGTGACGAATCTTCAAAAGACACGTAAAATGGTAGCACCTGTTAGCTAACAACGGCCTTTAAGCATACGGCCGGTAATCTGTCAAGGACAAAGTAATAATTGGTACTTACCAAACCAAACAATTACGCTTGCTATGCGCAAAAATCGTACTGAATGCCACATTATTCATAGTTTTTCGCTTATAGTAGAAAAACTAATAGTAAAAATAACTTATTTTGCCATTTTAACGAGAAATTCTACAATTCACGTGGCAAGCATTTACCTTTTATGTACGGACAAAAGTAAACTAAATTTTCATACTTTGAACAAAACAAATACCATATAGCTCAAGAGTGCTATAAATATTACTCAATTATCTTACTCTAAGTTACATAACTCTGCATAGTTAATCGACGTACCTTTAACTGGAAGTGTACCTCTTCCCGTCCAAGAACTGTATTCTCTTCCCGTTGCTAGTACCGTAGCTCTCTCCGTGGAGGATGCTGCGTCTGCTGCTCATCCCGCATTTATATAGCTGCTAAACCTGGGCTTCACAGTTTGCAACGAAGCATGCGCGTGGCATCGTGTACCTAGAATACACACACACACACACACACACACGCATGCAC